TTGCCATCTGATGTTTCCAAAGCCCCAGTGCACTAAAGTCCCAATGCTGTCACAGTCCATCACCTGGAACAGGGTGACTGAGTACCAGCCATTCACAGTTTCTGTGAGAATAATTTTTTTCAGCTAGTTTGTGGAGCCTTACCCTCCATATAGTTCAACTCTGGGTCCATCCACTAAGCCAAGGTAACTATTTCTGAAAGAAACTGTAGTCTATCCTTCATTCCCACTCCCCCCTTCCAAGCTCCTTTCACCAAATCAACCTGGCAATAAACCTTTCTAACAGTGATTAATAGAAGACAGTATAGTTCAGTGGTTATAAGCAAGAGATCTGAGTTCGATTACTTGGATTTAATGGGGAAACAATAGTAGCTCTGTGCCTCAGTCTTTTTTTTTTTGCTTTATTTTTCAGCAATAAAATTGATATAATAATAGAACCTAATTCACACAGAAATTTTGAGAGCCTAAGTGAGAAGTTTGGAAACACTTAGCATGGGCCCAGCACATAGAATTGGCTCACTAAATGGTGGTAATGGACATTACCTTTCACTCTGTTTCTGGTAGCCACATGTTATGTGCATTGCATGTTGTGTGCGCCCAAAGTTAACATGTTGAAATCTAACCCCCAATGTGATGATAGTTAGAGGTAGGCTCTTTAGGAGATAATTAGATCACCAGGGTGTAGCCCTCATGAATGGAATTAGTTCCCAGAGAGCTAGCTAGCTCACCCACTTTCCACTACATATGGACACAAGTTGGCAAACCTGGAAGAAGGCTATTGCTAGAAACCAACCATGCTGACACTCCAATCTCAAACTTCCCAGGCTCCATAACTGTGAGAAATAAATGTGTGTTTTTAAGCCACCCAGTTTGTCATAATTTGTTATAGAAGCCCAAATTGGCTGAGACACTACTACTTAAGTTTAAAACAAAACTAAGACTTCTTCCACAACCTAACAGAATCACAAATGTGTCTGTCCCTACAGTTTTGGTTTTCCTTGTAATGGTTACTATAGTCTCAATAGCTATTGGGATAAAAATTGCTAAATTATGAGAAAATGATATGGAACTTTGTTTTACAAAACCAACAATCAATTATATCCTATGTGAGATTAAAGGATTGGGTTTACAAAGATACATTCTTCATTTTATATAAACTTGGCACCCAAGCAAATTAGTTGAAGACTATGACACATTGATTTAATTATAGTTTTCTAATCATTGTTCCCCAGAATTACTCCCTTATTGAAAAAGTGAACCATGAAATGTCTTCACATAAATATATATTAAAGCAGTTCAACCCATAGTAATAACATGTGTATATCACCTAATAATATAAAATGTTATTTAACTTTTGTAATTTAATCCTCATGACAACAATATAAGGAAACTATACTAGATATTGTTTCTATGTTATTGATAAGAAAACTCAAGCTCAGAGAGGGTAAGTATAAATTGTGCAAGTCACACAGCAGATAATGGTGAAACCAGAACTTCAATCTAAGCCTTTCTAAATCCTATACCAATGCATGCTTACTCTGATAGTACTGGTTAAAATTAAGTGTGTGCTTTGATTAATTTTGCTGTATATACATTTTGGTTTGCCAGTTCATACCTTTCAATACTTCCCAATTCACTTACTGAATATGTGTCACAATATATGGTGCCAAGTATCACTGACATTCCTTGTCCTCCTCTGACCTCTTTTGAGTTTCCCTTCGGGGAGAGATTATGGGCACAGAAAATCAAGAAAGCAATTTGGGAAAGAGTCAGAAAGCATGAGTCACCATCACTGGGCTCACCTAAGGCTGGCTTCACTGGGTTTTTTGAGGCCCTGAAGGATCTGTGAGAAAACATAACATTAAGGATGAGAACAAAGGCAGACCTTCACAGATTGTGCTCTCTTCCTTCTCCTAAACTTTACTAGACAGGTAAGGATCTCTATACTTATTTTCACCTTAGAAATATCTGAGGAGCTTTACGAAAATTCCAAAGCCTGAGACCTGCATAGGCCACTTAAGTTGGAATCCCTGGAAAAGGGCCCAGGATATGGGTACTAGTTTATATGGGTACTAGGTGCTTCCATTGTGCAGGCAAGGTTTGAGAACCAGTGCAGTGGGCTAATTGCCACATCTCAAGGTCAAGGGTAAGAGAAAGAATTGTGCAATACTAGGTCCAATAGAAAAACTGGAATCTGGGTCAAGAGACAGCCAGATTCAGACTCCTCGTATCATCTCTGGCAGCAAGTGCTAGAATAGAATAATACAGGGAACATGCCTTACTTCTCCCAGGTTCAACTGTCCATTCATTTATGTTCCCCAAGTTGTTTCTAGACAGTAAAGATTACTCTATTCCCAATTTTTATTGTGACTTCTGTGATTATGGTGTTAATGTTGTTAAGGCTTTGTTGGTTTGTTAGGGTGATTGGTTCATCACCCCCAAAAAAAAAAAGCAGTGGATCATTCAAATTTCATCCTTCAGAAAATAATCTGGAAATGTAAAGCCTATCAATTTTATCCCTATTTTATCTACTCTCTAAAATTTATTGGACCTGATTATTTTGTGAGTTAAAATAAAATATCAGTTTCAATTATACATCTTAAATATTACCGAAATAAATGTAACCAAAAAGTAAACTCATATAAGAGAAAATAAATTCATATATGAGAAAAATCCTCTTTGCCTTTGCTTTATAGGACTAAAAATATTTTTTCAAAGTCAAATAATTATTTATATGTTTGCAGTATATTTCATATGAAGATGTAGTCGTTTTGCCACTATTCTGAACTTGTCCCATCTGCCCTGATAAAAATACAAGCTATAGATTCAAGAATATCCATAGGAATGCTTTAACTCTATCAACAGACACAAAAAAATCATTCTTGAAATACATCTGATGGCATGATAGACTGGTAAGTCAAATCTCTCCAGAAGCAAAAATTAACTATGATTACTTGATGTAAGACATCACTCAAACCAATCAAATGTTATTTTGGGAAATCATAAATTTATATCCAGCGTCAGTTTGTCACTCATTACGTTCTTATAAGAATGATTAGGAAATTATCTTAATAAGTAAACGTTAGTCTTAATTTCTTCTTAGTTTGATGGCTTAAAAATATAAGTTTATATCAACCAACTGAGTCTTGCTAAAAGTCGCAGCCTGCTTGAAGAGTTAATTATTCTAGTATTAATAAATTTTATTCAGGGTTGATGAGGAAATTCTTGCATTGTTCCATTCTGTAACAAATCTAGCTACCACATGATAGCAAAGCTTTCAAAATATGGTTTGATAATTAAAATTAAGAAATATTTACTGGTTACCTACCAGGTCCCAGGGCACTGTGTGAGGTGCTAGAAATGTATGAAAATCTAATTATTTACAAGTGTCCCAATACACAAAAACTCCAGAGGAGCCTGAATTCTTGCCTAGGTGTTGTTTTAGTGACTGACATGAATCACTACCTCCAGCAGTCAACTTAACAGCAGGCAAAGCTACTTAACAGGGAGTTACTTATGCTACAGCTGTACTTTGCTTGTCGCATCTTTGAAAGATGCTTACTTTGAAGATCTCCATGGTATGGAAGAGAGGAAACAAGACATAACTTAAAAATTGACTTACAAATTGATGAAGAAAAAGGTTTTAGAGCCACAAGGAAATCATTTTGTCAGTAACTCAGATAGATCACAGAGGAAGTAAACATAGTGAAAAAAATACAAAAAAAAAAGATCCCATGAAATTGATGATAAAGGAATCAATTTCTTCTCCAATAAACATATTTTAAGTACTGCAGCAAGAATAGAAATGAAGAGTTTCCCTTTTCCCTCCTTTTCCAAAGGAAAAAGACCTACTCACAAAAGTCTCTCAAGAATCCTTAACGTGCCACAATGAATAGTTTTAGTAATGTCTGTCTTTCAGGGAAAAGCATGCTCTCCTTAGATTTGCTTCCAAATTACACCCAACATAAATGTCAGCACTCCCTCCCTTACTTATTGAAACTGAAGAAAAAAAAAGAATATCTGAGATATCATTGATCATTTCTCAATTCCAAGAACTGATCTCTAACCTCATCTTTCTTTCTTTTTTCAGTCTTATTGACGAATAAGAAATGCACATATTTAAGGTGTACAAAAATGTTGTTTTCATATACATATTTATTGTGAAGTGATTACATTTTGAAATGATTAATTAGGCTAATTAAATATCCATTGTCTCACATAGTTACCTTTTTTCTTCTTTTGTGTGTGTTGAGAACACTTAAGATCTACCCTTTTGGCAAGTTTCAACTATACAGTACATTATTGTTAACTATAGTCACTAAGCTGTATATTAGGTCTCCAGAACTTATTCATCTTATATCTAAAAATTAGTACCCTTTAACCAAATCTTCCCATTTCTCCCACCCTCCAGCCCCTAGAGGCCACAATTCTGCTCTGTTCCTATGTGTTTCATTTTTTTAGATTCCAAATATAAGTGAGATCTTGCAATATATGTCTTTCTGTGTCTGGCTTTTTTATTTAGACTAATGTTCTCCAGGTTCATCAATATTTTCACAAATAGCAGAATTTCCCTCTTTATTATATTCTAGTATGTGTGTGCGTGTTTGTGTGTGTGACTATGTGTGTGCATGTGTGTGTGTATCCTAAATATCCTCTGACAGATGATGAATAGATAAAGAAAATGTAGGAATATGTATATATATATATATATATATAT